TAAGAGTAAAACATTACTTTAAAATATTTTTAAAACCACTTCGCTTATTAAAAAACTGCATCTGTGGAGCACTTCACTCACAGCTCTACACAGCGCGGCAGGTTCCCCCCACCTCGGCGCTCTGCACCCTTCTGTTGGTGGGGACTGTGCTGGCGCTGGAGGATGTCCAGCAGCGTCCCTCGCCTCTGCCCGCTACATGCCAGCACCACCCTCCGTCAGCTGTGACGACAAAGCTGTCTTCAGACATGGCCAAGTGGTCCTTGGGGGGCAAAATCACCCCCAGTTGAGAACCACTGCCCTACAGCCCCCGACTCGGTGCCCCCAGCCCCCTAGGCTCTCTGGATGCCCCCTTCCTCCTCCCCGGGAGATTTACGCCCGTGGGCAGCATGGCCTCGCCTGGCCTGCCGCAGTACACAGCCGAGAAGGGTTCAGTGTCCTTGTCGTGGAGTATCTTGAGTCTCAAAGGAAGGATGATCTATCAAATTGTGGTCTTTTTCTTGGTGCAGAACTGGCGGGAGTAATGTTAATTATTGAAGGGTTGGGAGTGGGATTAATATCTTGCTGTTACTTCTTTGACCACATTTCCTTTAGAGTTTGTAACATTTTTCCCCCCTAATAAGCATTGTGGAACCACAGGTGGCTATATATATTGTGAGGTCTTTCAAACAGCTTTTATGTTTAAATGTTATTGCTGCCTTAGCGGGTGGACAGAAACTGGTGTTGGTCCCCAGTAAAGGTGGAAACAGGGTGGACAATGGAAATTGCAGGAAGAGGTGATATAGTCACATTCTCAGTGGACGCTGGAATCCATTCTGGGGAACGGATTTAGTAATAGCTGTAAGACACGCCCGTCATCACGAGCCCCCTGTCCTCAGGTGGAAGCCAGCCCTTTCTCACTGACCACCTGTGAACAAGAGCATGGCCTGCCGTCAATAGAGCCCTGGGCGGCAGGAGGTGTGGGTCACGGGGAAGGCTGGGGACACAATGTGTAAAAGTACTGTGGTTTCTGGTACCGGCCAGGTCGGCCCCTCGTGAGTGTATTATTTCAGTCTACGACAGTCGGCTCCTTTCTGGATAAATGCCAAATGCAGAGCTTCAGGACTGGAAGGCTCAGGACAGAGGGGATCGCTCCCAGGTTCTGGTGGTCTGGAAGGCCATGTCGGAGTCACCAGCTCTCGGCGCATGGCAGGAGCAGCTGCGTGATGTCAGTTCTTGAAGCAGCCCCATGGCGCCCGTCCTGCAGGGTCATAACGGAAAGGCGAACAATGTGTGAGCGTCTCTGAGGACAGTTTTGGATCCTTGGGTGACGCCTGGAGGCCTCTCTCCCCCACTCAGGTTTTGAGTCCATCAGCCCTCTCTTTCCTTGAACAGGAAGGATATTAACTTCTTCGCGGTACTCGTCAGCCTCTGAGTCCATGCTCCCTTTTAACAAACAAAAATCTCGTGCTGAAATTTCAAAACTATTCATACCAAAGAAAAAATTTAATTAAAATATTTGTTTTTTCAAACTACAGATGCCCTCCTTCCAGGCTTCCGACCCCCCATGCATACCCTTGGGAGGTCCTTGTCTGTTCCAGGGGCTCGAGGCCAGCCAGGGAGCTCTGTTCTTGCCACAGTGCTTGGTTGCAGTCAGAAGACTTAACAGAATTCCCCTAACTGCGTTGAATTCTTCTTGTAGCTTCATTCCTTACAATGACCTTCATATCTGACCTTCTCATGGGCTGGAGCAGTCGCTGGTATAATGGGGGGGCTCATCTTCTTTCTAATAATTTCATGGAATTGCTTTAGGAGCTCAGAAGCGTGCTACCTCCTGTTGATAGTTCATGCATCCTTATTTTTCAAAGACGTGTTCCTAGTCGCAGAATGTAAATTCTGCCGAGGCAGGATTTTGGTCTAGTTAGTTCACCGCTGCATCTCTGGTTTCTAGAAGTGTATCTGGCACTCAAAGACATTTGTGGCATGAAGAACAACACACAAACTCATTCAAAGGCAAAGCAGCTATTTAAGCCGCCCCAAAGTTGGGCACTGTGTTTAATAAAGCCAAAAACCTGTTTAGTAGTTGCTATCAATGTACTTGATGGGAAGCCCTGATTCCTTTGGGTTTATAAATTATTCAGTGGAAGTACGTTGGCTGATGTTTTCGGGTTATTTTATGTATGTATTTCCCATCAGTGTGTGGGTGTCGCCTGTTACACAGAGCCACGTGGTGTCATTGGTCACACCTGTGCAGTGTCTGTGCCCTTGGAAGCCCAGCAAGGGTGGTGTTGGAATGCTGCTTGCTGTACTTACGAAAGGAGTGAAATCACATTCTTTAGGTATGAGGTGGTTGTAGCATTCTCACTACCCTGTTTATAACAAGTGAAATTTCAAATCCGAAGTAGAACAAATCGGTTGAAACATTCTTGGATTAAAGAAAGGCAGTGCTAATGAGTTTTATGACTATGCATTCCAATCCCATTAATGCTGGTGGGGTCAGCCTGGTGTAACGTACGGCAGGCCTTTCTTTAGCACTGAAGTTTGGCATTAACTGCTTTGATACCATGACAGGGAAATGAGCAGAGTGAGGCCCCCTCTCAGGCTGCCTCGTCCTGCCTGAGGAAGCAGGAGGGCAGCTCTGCTGACGGGGCCTGTGTCAGCCTGGCTGGGTCCACGCCGTACGGCATCCCTAAAGCAGCGGTCCTCAAGCTGTTTGATCTCAGGACCCTTTTCACTCTCAAAGATTATTGAGGGGCTTCCCTGGTGGCGCAGTGGTTGAGAGTCCGCCTGCCAGTGCAGGGGACGAGGGTTCGAGCCCTGGTCCAGCAAGATCCCACATGCTGCGGGACAACGAAGCCTGCGCTCTAGAGCCCGCGAGCCACAACTGCTGAGCCCACGTGCGACAAGTACTGAAGCCCGGGCACCTAGAGCCCGTGCTCCGCAGCAAGAGAAGCCACCGCAATGAGAAGCCTGCGCACCACAACGAAGAGTAGCCCCCGCTTGCCGCAGCTAGAGAAAGCCCGCGCGCAGCAACGGAGACCCAACGCAGCCAAAAATAAAATAAATAAATAAGTGTAAATAAGTAAGTAAATAAATAAAAATTTTTTAAAAATCGTTGAGAACTTTCGCTTATGTGGGTTGTATCATGTTACAAATTAAAATTCAGAACAACTTAAAATATTTATGTATTAGTCCTGCAAAAAGTAACAATAACAATAAACGATTTTACGTTAACAAGTAACATTTGTTATGGAAAACATTTTTATGGAAAACTAGTTTCCAAAACAAAAAAAGTTTAATAAGAGTGGTGGTGTTTTCCACATTTACAAATCTCTTTAATGTGTGGCTTGACAGAAGGCCACTTGGTTCTTATGTCTGATTATACCTCATTCAGTTTTGATGTGTTGTTTTAGTTGAAATACATGAAGAAAATGTGGCCGCAGATCTGTACTTGGAAGCGGAAGTGGACTTTAGTAGCCTTTTCAGGTGATTGTGGAGAGTTTTTGGTACCGCACAGAAGCTCGACAGGTGGTAGCTGGTACCCCGTGGAGTCTGAAACCATATCCGTGAGCTTTTTGTACTCTGAAATGGGTCTGTTTTGTACTTGATCAATCTTTTACCCATCTGTGATTCTGTTTCGGTGGATGTGACTGTTTCACTGAATGATCCGGATCTAAGCGCTGACAGATTTCATCGTATGTGTTTACTAGAAACACATCTGTTAACATCACCACCAAAGTCTTCAGAAAACTCTAAGTTTGGGGAAGCTGCCGACTGAGATCTTGGTGACAGGTACCGGTTTTCCACAGTTCTAGGATTCTTGCTTGAAAGCTCAAATTCTCTCCTTGGCAACAAGCATCGCCAGTTGTTTTCCTTCCGGATTCTGTTCCGTTCATTCCGGTCTTTCTTCCTAAAATACAGATCCTATCATGGTTCTCGGCAGCTGGACTCGATGACTTGGCCCCAGCCCCTGGCACTTTGACAGTTTCCAGCCTTGTTTCAAGCCTCTACGTTAAAAAAAAAAAGGCTTTAAAACAACGCAGATTTACTGGGTTGGCCAAAAAGTTCGTTCGGGATGTTCCGTAACACCTTACTTTTTGGCCAACCTAATATTAGTCTTCAGTTCTGCAGGTCAGAAGTCCAGAATAGGTCTCACTGGGCTCGCGTCCAGGTGTTGGGAGGGTGTGTTCCTTTCTTAGGGCTCTCGAGAGAATCCAGTTCCTTGCCTTTGTGGGCTTCTGGAGGTTGCCCGCCCCCTCCCCCATCCTTCAGGGACCCTGGGGATTACATATCAGACCCACCCCGGGAGCGTCTCGTCCAAGGTCAGCTGATGAGCACCTTCGTTCCTTCTGCAACCTCCCTGTCACGTAACCTGACGTAGTCACAAGTTCCCAGAGGTAGGATTTGGACATTTTGGGGTTGGGCGGCATTGTTCTGGCTGTCATATTCTAGCCTCTCCGTTTTTGTGTTTCGTTCCCGCTTTCTGCGTGTAAGTTGGGTAACCTCGTCCTCTGCAAAGCCCCAGATTGCAGAGACCTGTCCTGAGGTCTTCAGGTGGAGCGACCACTTTCTCTTCTGCCAAGACAGAGACTCGCGTGTGAGACAGCTCCCCCTTTGTGCCCAGCTCCCAGGAAGGATCTGTGTGTCCGTCTCCCCCTGGGCTGTGAACCTGGGCCTTAACTCATCTTCGTTTCTCTCACTGCCCTTGTGGTACTTGGCCCATGACAGACAAATGCCAGTATGTTGTTGGTTTTGGACATTTGATCGTGGGCTGTGTTTTAGAGGCTACTGAATGAATATTCGGTTTCTAACAAGTGACGTTACAGTTATGTGGGTGAGTTTCATCCTTGGGAGTTACCAGAGTACTTAGAGGTCAAGTGTCATGTTAGCTATTACAGCTCAGTATCAGATGGTTCGTGAGAAAAGTGTATATTTACATAATGATAGAGCAGATGTGGCAAAACGTTAAATATTGGCAAACGTAGATGAAAAGTGTGTAAACATGTGCGTTAACTTTCATGTAGGTTTGGACGTTTTCAAAGTGGGAAGTGGCAAAGACTGAAACATTAGCACAGAATGAATATACAGAAGTGTTGGTGGGGTGGAACGGTTGGCTGCAGCCGCTGGAAACCTGCTTTGCTGCATTGAAGTGATGCAGCTTGAGCTGTTGATGAGCATCTTCACGTGAGCTTCTGGCTCAGCAGTAATCCGCACCTGGGTTCACATAGGTGCAGAGTCATATGCAGGAAGCTTGGCTAAACCACGCCAGCTCCTGGGTGGGTGAGTGCGTGAGCCTGTGTAGAGTAGGAACCCCGCAGTTGGGAAAACAGAGGACTTTATATGCCACTCGTCCAGGAGGTTCTTCCTGGATGCCCCAGTGAGGAGTGACCGTCACCGCATTCATTCCTTCTGGGACTGCAGGCCGCTCCCCCGGCACGTGGTGACAGAGCACGCCCCGCGTCAGAGCAGTGTGTGGCCCATTTGAAGTCACGGGCAGGTGGCTGCCCAGGGCCCGCGAGGGTGGTGCACTAGTGCCGTGTGCTCTGCGCTGGTGCCCTGACACTGCAAGCGCCGGCAGGGACAGGAGAGCGGCCGGTCACACCGACGGGAGCCCTGCGTTCCCTGGAGGACGCAGCTGAGGCTTTCTGCCCCTGCTGACCTCGGTTCTCAGTGCCAGCGTCAGGAGAGCACTCGCTCCCCGGGCTGGCCCCTCGCAGGGCCGCAGAGCGTGCACAGCTCCACCTATGTGACCTGGATGTGTGGGCGTAGCCTGTCTGGAAGATGCTTTGCTGTCGTCCTTACTTAGATATGACCCCACGTTTGTAGCGGTAGCGGGGTAGAACCTCTGGTTTGGAGGCCGTCTGGTCTGGTTTCCCATCTTCTCCCCAGCGGTGCTCCCCGCGTGCTGCTCTGTCCCCGTGGTGGGACCTCGTCTGCCTTCCGGATGCTGGGCTAAACAGAATCTTCCCTCCCTGCGATGGCCGCAGGCTTGGAGGTTCTGGGGTCAAAACAGATGGAGTCTAACGTCTCTTCCTTGCCTCCCAGGAGCCTGCAGCCCCGTCTCGTCCCTCCTGAGACGTCTTCGCTCCAGGACCCAGGGATCCTCGGGTGACAAGGTGACAGTCCTCACGCCATAGTCCAGGTACGGTCTGCCTGTCAGCACCCCGGCAGGGGAGTCTGCTCTTTTTTGCTGGAATGTTACTCGTTTAGGGCTTTCGCTGGCCGCTGGCTTTTTAAGTTAACTGATAACTAAGCCCTAAGTTGTCTTTTTTTTTTTTTAATTAATTAGTTTATTCATTTTTGACTGTGTTGTGTCTTCGTTTCTTTGTGAGGGGTTTCTCTAGTTGTGGCGAGCGGGGGCCACTCTTCATTGCGGTGCACGGGCCTCTCACTATCTTGGCCTCTCTTGTTGCGGAGCACAGGCTCCAGACGCGCAGGCTCAGTAGTTGTGGCTCACGGGCCCAGTTGCTCCACGGCACGTGGGATCTTCCCGGACCAGGGCTCGAACCCGTGTCCCCTGCATTGGCAGGCAGACTCTCAACCACTGCGCCACCAGGGAAGCCCCCTTAAGTTGTCTTTTTAACGTCTCACTGCTGTACCCATCCAGCTCTTCCGTCCCATTGACTCACCAGGAAAGGTTTGTCTTTTCACTCTAATGGGTTCTTGACTTCTTACCTGCACTTCTGCTTCGTACAGACCTCTTAACATCCTGCGACAGCAAGGCCTTCAGTGCAGGGCTCCGTGGGGAGGGGGTGTCCCCTCACTCCGGGCACCGCCTGGTCTGCAGCCCTTGGAGGGACTGTGCCCCGTGGGCGGCCACAGAGCCTCGGCCGTGATGCATCCGCTCCGTGTCTGCCTTTGACTCTGGGAGACTTTGCGGTTTCTCAAGGTCAAGGGCCAGTTCCACTTTCCATTCTGCTCCCAAGCTTCTTGTCTTGCTCCTGTGCCTCTCACTCCTCTGCTTGTCACTCTTGTCCTTAAGAATTCTCCCGTAGCTTGTTCTTGGGTTTAGGGGCTATAACGACCTGCTGCAGGTCGGTGTATTTCGGGCCGGTCCTTGCAGCCCTGGAGTCCTGGGCAGGGGCGGGGCACAGGAGCAGGCATGGAGGGTGGGGAAGGTCAAGGCCAGCAGGGGGCTGCTCACCCCTTGTCCCTTTACATAAGAGTGGGTCCCCCTTCCCCGATGCTTGTATTTGGGTTTAGCGTAGGGTGTAGTTTGGGGAAAGGATTCTACTAGAAAAATGCTGGAAAGCTGTTGCTCTGCTTAGGTTTTGATTAAGAAAACAGGTTCGCTGAGTGTGGAGACAGTCATTTTCGTCACTGTTTCATTTATCACAAGGGGTTTTCAGCTCTGCACCTGACTCCCCCGCCGCCCTGCAATCTTCCAGTCGTTTGGGGCCGTTCATGTTGTTCCTTCCGAGTGTGGAGCCGTGCTAAGAACGCACACGCGATCAGGCTCTGCAGCCCTCTGAGTCCTTTGTCAGGCGGCTTGGCGGACGTGTCGCCGGGACCTCTGCCTCACGGAGGCGCCTCGCCGGGACGGGCGGGGCTCCCCAGCTCCTGCTTCCCGAGAGGTCCGCGCTCTGAGTGAGCACCTTGTTTACGAGGCTGTTGCAGCTTGTAAATGTCAGAAGCAACGGTTCCCGGGCGCGCTTCCCCGAAGAGTCGGGTTAGGTCCGTGCAGCAGGGAAGGGGGAGCACGGCCCATCGTGAGCCTTGAGTAGCCTGGTCTCTCCTCCTCCTTTTCAGCACCTGTTTAGTAGAAGTGCTTACGTGAGAGTTGTTGACGCTGCATCTCCTCCTGTCTGCTGCTCAGCCTCTCCTAGAGCCCCTTCCTCTGTCACCTGGTACCCAGGCTGCGGGGAGTGTTCACGTTTGAGTGAAGAGCCTCAGGTTGCTGGCTTCGCGGGTCGGCAGGGCCGTGATGAGGTGTCTGGGGAAGCCCTGGATGGTTCCTAGCGCTCGGGCAGATCCTGAGCCGTGTCTAAATCAGGGGGCTTCACAGCCCCGCGGCCACGCCGTGACGGCGCCCTCCTGCGCGAAGGGGCCGGTGCCAGGTGGTGGCGGAGGTGACGTGTCTCCGGAGGGCTCGGGTCTCTGCCGCCTGTTTGTGCTCTTTGGTTTGTTGTATTGTCTTCTCCTGCCAGGAGAGCAGGAACTTTGTTCTTTCCCTACAGCACAGGGAAGGGAGAGGCATATAGTAGGTGTCCGTCAGATAAATACTTGTTGGATGGATGGATGGCTAATTTGGCCTTTTTTCCAGGCTGCGAGCACCCTGAGAGCAGGGACAGCATAGTGCTTATCTTTGTAGCTCCTGCAAGTCCTAAAGGAGGGGCACAGGGTAGAAACACCATTTTTTAAAAGTGAAAATAATAGCTATTTAATGTACACCATTCTTCCAGAAAGAGGAAATTCCTTTCAAATCATTCCGCCTTAACCAAGAAAAAATAGTTTCAGGTGAATTAAAGGTTAACTCCATCACTGAAGCAGAGAAAGTTAAAGAAACGTTGGGCTCTGGTTTTTGGGTCCTTGAAGGTTTAAAGAGAAAGTGAATGCAGACTCACTTGTTATCTCACAGCTGTCTGGACCATGGATTAGTCAGCTGTCACTGCACACACACCGCAGACTTAGGGCCTAACACATCTGTCTTCTCATGGTTCATCTGGTCGGGAGTCAGAGCGTGGCTTAGCTAGCGAGGTGCCTGGAGCACCGCGAAGCTGCCGTCGGGCTGTGGACCAGGACCTGGTTCTCAGCTGAAGGTTCAGCTGGGGATGGGATCTGTGCTGGGCTTCCTTGGGTTGTTGGCCAAATCCACGTCCTCATGGTTTTGGGACTTAGGGCCCCAGTCTCTCGCTGGCTGACTTGGAGGCCACATTGACTGCCGCTTGGGTTTTCCCAATGTGGCCACTCACTTCCTCAAGCTGGTAAGACAGAGCCTTAAATAGTGTCACATAATTGTGGGGTGACATCCCTCCCCTTTGCCAGCTTCTGCTGGGAGAGGCAAGCCCCAGCTCCCACCCCACTCCCGCTCCCACCAGGGGGAGTGGGTCACGGGCCACCTTAGACACCGTCCACCGCAGATCACCTTTCCTTGCCCCGAGAGGAGGGATTAAAAGTGCTCCCATCTGATATTCATTTTGGTGAAAAATTGTTTTGCTCCTTTCTTTTTTCCACAATGACCCATGACTTTACATCTATTAAAGGATCACAACTTCTGCAGGATCCATTTATTCTCCCAACCCACGTCGGTGTCCTTGTGCCCTCACTGGCCCCGCTGGGCAGTGGGCAGCTCCAGAGAGCTCGGATGCCCTTCAGGAACGTTTCGGGTTAAACTGCCTTTTGTGAGCTGCTTTAGAACCCAGGGGTGGTTTTGTCCCATTTTTGTGTAGGAAAATGTGACCCTGAGTCTCAGGTGACTGATGCGGCTGTGAACTTCTAGGAAGAAGGCAGGCGCCCTCTTCGTGGGGCTTTCTGTGCAGTGGGGCATGTAGAGAGCATTATTTGGGGCATAAGTTGCAACTTCTATTTTCAGCCTTTAAGAATTCCTTAAAGACGATAGGAGAAGTCTGTGCTGTGTTTCCTCGTTCTCTGATGATGTGGGTTCTAAGGGTCACTAAGTGGGGACCAGAGAAGGGAGAATTTCAGGTCACTGCAGTCCGGATATTGAACATTGGCTTATGGCGAGGCCCTGGGGTCACGTTCGGGTGACATTCTGGGGGGACAGCCTGTCCTTAAGGTTATTGCACTGGAGCGTCCATTACAGCAGAGCTGGGGGCTCTGCCTGTGACGTATGGTGTACACACGGTCCATCCGACGTGCAGGAAAACAGCCGCTTCACACTCAGCACCACCGGCCAGCTCTGGTCCCGTGTCCAGCGCTCTGGGCTGCTCTCTCCGTCTCGGGCTCAGCCTTATCCTCTGGTCCACTCTCTCCTGGCCCTTGATCACTCGGTCCTGCATTCCCGTATTCACAGGCCCTCGTGCAACTGGCCCTTTGCTTCCGATGCCTCACAGTGACTTGGGCTAAACGGCATCACGTTCTCTGTAACGGAGGCGTTCTGTTACCACCCAGTGGACGTGTCCTCTAGGTGTGTGACGTGAGAGAAAACCTTGTGGCAGGAAAACAGGTGAGGTGGCGAGCCACGAGGGAGGCCGTGGTGTTTCTTTCAAATCGTAAATGCTTTTCTCTTGGGGGTGAGTGTCTGAAGTTTTGGCCACCAGTGAAAGTAGGTTGCCAGTACGCCAGCAAGACCCATCATAAAACACGCATTTCCTACTAGGGTTATTCCTGCAGGGCGCACCCCACCCCGCGCAGATAATCCCCATGGTAACCAGGGCGTGGGTGCTGGGAATAGTTCAGGGCTCTTCGGGGAGAAAGCAGGGACGGGGAACAAATGCTGGTACATATGAGAGAATATAGCGTTTGCTTGTGCAAAGGGGCTTCGTTAGTTGGATTAAAATACCTGCTCAAAGGCGAACATATCGATTTGCTACCCAGGTACAGAAGGCCGTTACCCTCTAGTCTGTCCTGCACGAGACCTGATTAATCCTCCCGGTGTATGTTGTTGATGCCCTTCCTCTGCATCTCTGAGTGTGAATCCCTCAGCTGCCCACCCGTGACTTTCCTAGGTGCACGGCCCTGGCCGGTCCAGCTCCCCACACCCCGGCCCAGCCTCACCTGTGCAGTCTGGCCAGGGTCACCTGCGGCGCAGTGGGCCTGAGCTTCATCTCCCAGGCAGGTCAGGGTGTGACCTGCTGGAAGGTGGGAGGTGAACCTTAAAATTCACGTATGTCCCGCACAGTGCATAGCGCAGAAACACGGATCTACAAGTTCCTCTCTCCCAGCTTTGGAATAACCTATGAACCACTTCGTTTTTCCTAAACCTGTGCTGGTTTCTGGTGACGACGAAATGACCTCGTGTGTGTGTCTGGCGAAGAGCTGGTGTGTGTAGATCAGTGCTGGTTTCCAGTGGACCCCAGCTCCCCAAGAGTCTCTTCTCCAGCTCAGTTTTGGGAAACTGTCCCTGATTTTTCACACCTTCTTTACTTTTGAACCAGTGCATTTTCTGGAAATTCCGAGTTTTTTCAGAGTTGCTTGTGACGGTGGGAAGACTGGGGGAAGGGAGGAAATTACAGGCGTTTG